CCAGGTCATTCTGAAGATTTAGTGACACTAAAAAAACTTTATGGAATCAAACTGTGTACTGGAATAATGCCACTCTCCACTAATAACATTTTAATGGACGAGAAATGCCTTCAATGGGAATCGGAAAAATAACCCCTGACATCCTACAAACAAATCAGATCATTGAATCCCAAAAGGATCTTCATTGTTAATCACACGACAGTAGGCATAGTACGGAGGACGGCTGCTAACACAGCTAACAGCACGCAAGCAGTCGAATCGCTTTCCACATGCTGCCTCCAGCCCTTTCTGGCTGTTCCTGGATTCTGCTTGCGCTGTGGATTGGCTGTTTTGTAAGCGACCTGGATAGGGGCCGAAGCACACAGGAGGGGAAGGCGATCATTTAGCTCAAGGTGATAAACTCAAATTTGCTCCAAAGACACCGTAAGTTTACACACTGCAAGACTCACTCTGATCTTGGTCTGATTCCTCGTCTTTCTTCTGGCTCAGCGTTGCCTCTTCGTTTCAGCCTGAATGGAGGAAAATTTAAATGTCCAATCTAGAAATGTAGTCATTATAGTCAAGGCATTTTATAAAACTGCTGTCAACTATATAAGCGGCACTTGCACTTTACTTGCGTATTTCATTGTATGCTACTCCACTACTACTCACATTAATAGGAGGGAAATTTGTTCTTTTTTATGCAATGGAGCAAGGCCTGGGGAAGCTAGTTCAGGCAGTCAACCTAAAGCTGCGCTGCTACACCACACACATGGCCTCACTCAATAATCACTAAACCAAAGCGCACCCCTTCCAAATCTGGTGGGTCTATTAAACTGCACAATTTCCTAGCTCTCCCTCTGCTCTGTCCAATTGTCGCTGTTTTCCTGCATCACATCGCTGGCTACTCCGTTAGCTATTTTGCTGCTGCTCTGTAGCCCCACCACCGCCCCCGCATCCACCTGTAGGCCTCCCGGCTAAGGGTTGAGGTATTTGCTCATCACTTCCCCAATATCTCTATGTAAACATATCTGCAGGGAATGGATGAGGGTCGGAGGCTAGATGCCAAAATCTAAATATGTTATACTGCTGTAGTAAATATTTTAAATGTGAGTTGTCTGACTAAACTACAGTTATCTGACAGCTATGCATAGTCACATTTAGCAGAAAGTGGAAAAAATTGCAGTTGCAGTAAGAATATTGCAAATCAACTAGTTTAAAGTGTTTTCTAAAATCAATTTGAATTTAAATTAAATCCATGCTAGCAGCAGGCGCTAGCGATGGCAGTGGTTGGTCCACCTCTTGGATCCAGACAGAAATATCTCAGCAACTACTGGATGGATTGCCATGAAATCTAACAGTAAGAATTCCCATCAGCCTTTAGCTTTGTGTTTAACGCTAATTAAAGCATGCTAACACACTAAACTAAAATGGTAAAGATGGTAAATATTATGCTAACCTAAACATGTCAACATTGTCACTATAAGCATATTAACATGCTGATGTTAGAATGCTTAGGGGTACTGGTTGTTTACTGGGTCTCTGTGTGCACTGTACTGAACTGGAACTTGGAGGTGACAGGGTTGATATACATAAAGGGCGGGAAGTGGATGGGTTAAAGGGTAACTGTGGGTTTTTTACACCCTGGACCATATTTTCGTATGTTTTTCTGTCTGAACGAGAGGCCTGCAACGTAATCCTTATGGGGCGCACATAGCACTGTCACGATAACCAAAGTAATGAAAAAATCCGCGCTATTGACAGGCCAGCTACAGGGGATGGCAAGCCACCACCACAGCCGCATGTGACCCCACATCATTACATCATGTTCAGTATTTGTTTAAGACAGGAAAGAGTCCCAGAGCAACCAGGCTGAAGAGACTGAAACATAGTGCTACTCAGTATCACTCTCAGTTCACAGCCCAGCATTACAATTCCACACAGGACAAAGTCACGTAGCCTCTGCATCACTTGCTCTGCAAACACCAGCAGTACTAGTACAGTAACAAGTGACTCTGTTAACTGATTACATTCAGCCAAATATGTTAACTAATTGCTAACTGTTGTTTGTTTTTGCTGAAAGTCTCCAGTTAACAAAGTCACAGATCCATGAGGCAGGAAGAGGGAGAGTGAATAGTACAAGCAGGTACTGAGATGAAACCTTATCCCATTGTACCCCTTGCAAAGTAATAAGCAAAACAACAAAATGGCTTAATACCCCATAGGGTATAAGGTATGTGGGTATGTTGAGCCAAAGCTAGGCAAACCATCAAAGTATGTCCACTAAAAGTTGTTGTTTCTGCCACTGACAGGCTCAGATTGTCATATTGCTGTGTTCAAAGCAACCAAAAAGTAATATTACCTTAAGCAAAGTTACCCTTTAATACAGGCCCAGCCACATATTTTTGCCCCCTCACAGGTTAATTAGGGCATTATCTTGCATCAACATACCTTGTGTGTGTGTGTGTGTGTGTGTGTGTGTGTGTGAAGACTGTACTCACACATCCCCATAAGGCTCATGTCTAACCTGTGAAAATGAAAGAAGGATAGTTTGTGAGATTATTTACAGTCACAGAGCAGGCACAAACACTTGGCACAAACAGAAATAAGCCGACAATCCGGACTCACAGGACTCTGGTATGTGATGTAGGTGACTTCCTCCTCTGTAAACAAACACATTATCACACTTCTCATTAATTTAAACATTTACTGCACCTATTGCATTTGTGTCTGAGAATATGATAAGATGGCAGAAATAATAACAGGTTCACAGAGGCCAAACAGCTGATGGCTTGTTTTACAAGGACAGCTCCCGGTGTTAAAGCGTGTGTTTAAATACATGTCTGAAAAATATAATTGATGTTTTACAACAATGTCCCATAAGATCAGCTCTTCTATTATTTGTGATGTTTGATGCTTAGGAGCATGCAGGCTGAGATTTCAACATTCAAAAAACTATGGGTGACACAATAAAGAAGATGACACTAGAAAATAAACTGCCATTTGCACACATTTATAGACCCACACATGAACAATCCCCCAGGTGACACACAGCCTACCTTCCTCTCTGTAGTAGGTCTTATCAGACGAGGCTTGCAGTGGAGTGGCCTCCATGGCCTTTTCAAGCTTCTTTTCATACAGCTTTCTAGTAGAGTCTGTGTTCACACAAACACATTAACAGTGCTTTCATAACCTAACCACAGTAAACAAACAATTATACAAAACATGACTTGTCTGCATTGTGTAAGTGTAAGGGGGAATTTGGGTTTGATCCTGTTAAATGTTAAAATTAATTGGTGTATTATGAAGATCTCTATGGGTTAGAGGTTGGATTGTATTTATCTCATTCTATTCCATCTTATTAAGGCGTATTGCCTCCTAATATAAAGGTTAAAACTAATGAATACTCAGTTGGGGAAGCCCAAGTATAGACAAATGCAGAACTAGTAAAGCAATTTACAGATAGACTGATTAATCGGTCAGCTGATGTCTGGCTCACGAGGATGATGAACAAAAAATGTCTTCAGACACAGACACACATCTGCAGGCAGACACATCTGCAGGCAGGCTGTCAGTGTGGCTGCTGTGGACTGATGTTAGCACTCCCCTTTGTGAGTTTTGGGAAGGTGGTAGGTCTGTACTGTAACTCGCATCCATCCTGCTGTGAACACTTTTCTCCCATTCTAAATAACTGCAAATCTAATCTGAAACCGTTACTGGCTAGTATCATGTATAAATATTATGTTATAATAATGCAGTTGATGACGTGGCTTCTGAAATACTGTACCTCACACAACCTTAAATACAGTCACATTCTGAAATCTACGGCATAAACAAATGTATAGTTCTGTTTGATTCATTATCGAAAAAAATTGAATGAGAAAACAAAATGGAATAGCAGCGTTATAAATGACTTTTCTCTGTTTTAATATCGGCATTATATATCGGCCTTTAAAAAACCCCATATCGGTCATCACTAGAGCAAATTCAAAACATGGTAACCATTACTTAATATTAACTGCTGGGGGTGGGATAACATGCAGCAAAGGACCAAAGGTCAGATTCGATTCCATGGCTGCTGCAGCAAGGACTCAGCCCTGGCACATGGAGCGCTAGCTCCACCAGGTGAGCATTACGGCACCCACATTGTGATTTTTTTGAAAGAACAAGATTTGTAGTTCAGAGTATCTCTGCAGCACTACAGTACTTCATTATAATGCTGTTTGTCACATATTTTACCTTTATCAAACACATTGCAGCTTCTGTGATATTGCACACTGAGCCATATTGCGATTTCAGTAATATTTCCATTCATTGTGCAGCCCGAGGATGGATGGATTTCAAATCAGTAGGGATCAGGATCCTGTTTTTGGACCCGCCCCCAGATTCCTCGTATGTGTAAAAACCTTCCTGGCAATAAATCAAATTCTGATTCTGATACTAAGTCATTAATGACTTACTGAATCTTTCTTTCCCCGGAAATGGGCTTCCATAGTTGTGAACCCCGTTTAATTACATAATTAATGTGGGTACTTTTCTTACCTACTATGGGTCCATGTTTGATGCCATACTCAGCAAGCAACTCGCTGATCTCCTCAACACTTTTCTCACTCAAAGACATCTGCAGGATAGATAGATAGATAGATACTCTTAAGTTGCCCACCAGGCTTTTTCCAGCAGGAAAGCAGGAAACTTTAAGACAAAGCTCTGCAGTGGTCGGTTAATAGTAACATTTTCAAATCAAAGTAAATCATTTGACGTATAACTCCATGTTTGTTACATGTTGCAACACTTTCACTGCTCTATCCATAATGCCTCGTGAAAACGTCCGCGCGGCAGAGCACAGACACACTGTAATCGCGCGAGCAACAAACGCAAGCGTTTAAAAGAGGAAGCGGCCGACATTGTGCTTTAAAGTTGGAATTATTTCACTTACCTCCGGATAAGACCAACAGTTTGTGTTTGGAAATGTGACTGAAAGCAGGAAGCTACTGCTGCAGAGTGGGTGGAACTCCTGGAGAAATGTGGCCGTCCTAACTTGGCACTCCTACTGTACTACTACTACTGTACCAGCCTACTAGCATACTCAATGGGCTTAAACATTCATTCTCTTGCTAAAACACTTGCTTACAGAAGGCCATTTGCTCACTTATACACTGAATTATTAAAGAACTGTGGTAGGCCTATCTGCATTATAGCATAATGTAGTGTTTAATGTTATACCTCCACGTTTTCGCTGGCTCACTGCCACATTCATTTTATCCAACAAAACAATTTCTAAGGAAATACAACAATGACATTCCTGAACCCATTGCATTTTGTCATTGACGTTTATTGTGTAAGTGTTTCATGAAAACTGTTTTATGATTGATGATTCTTAAATTAAAAAAAAAAACAGTTCAAGGATGATAACAGAGCACTTTTACTTTGAAACTCTACTTTATCATAAAAAGGGCTGTGATGATCTACAATACCCTGAAGACCTGTTTTTGAAGGCATTTGTTTGTTTTTTTATCCTTTATGGTTCTGCATGTGTCCAAACAAAATAAAGTTGGAAAATTAATTTAATATTATTAGCCTGCTACTACTAATATGAACAATGGTGATGATCCCCATTCATTGACATCTTACTTGAAATCTCGCTGGAAGTGGCGGTGCTGAGGGGGCTGCACACCCCCTAAAATCTGGCATAATGAAAACCATTCGATCATAAAATCGTTTAAACATAAGATGATTTTCTCCTTTTTGACTGGGATTTACATGTACACACTTGTATTTGTTTGTTTATCCGTTTCATCAGTTAAACACAATACAATTTGTGTAAATTGTCCTGGCCATTCAAATTAATGCAAAACCATATGAATGTTATGCATTTAGCATTAAGTATGATGTTAAATAGAGTTTCTCTCAGCATCTCCACCTCTAACTGACTTCCAGCGTCCCTGTACCCTTCTTAAAATGTATTTTACTAAATGGTTTCTTTCTGTGGTTGCCTGAGCAGCATTTAGACTTAACTAAGAATCAAGTTAGTGTTAATAATAAAATGGCTTCATGAAAAAAGTAGCCCTGTGGTTCACAGCTCTGCATAAAGAGCTTTATGGAGACTTTCAGTGAGATCCCCTCTCCTGCAGCGGCCTCTGGAGGTAGACAGTGATTCAGGCCTAATAAGGAGTTACAGCTTTCCAGGAAGGGCGTTGGCTGCACTCTCCAGTAATGTACACATTTCCCACTCACTGGAAACTTCTGTGGATAGACACTTAGCATGACCTCCATGCTTACTCTGTACATCAGTATTACTAATGAGAAGAATGACCTTCACATTTAGATAGAAACACTAAAAATAGCTGAGCACTTTACTTTTTAAGGCTTACTATATTGCCTTATAAAGGCAGACAGTAGCAACTACAGAAACAGTGAAGTTCAGAAAAGAGGGTTTGTGTTAAGGCTGATTATGAAAGTGTATAACAGCGATATTGGTTGTTACTAATGTTTTTAGTAATTATCTGATCAAATGAGATACTGTAGTCTGTGTATGTCTTTTTCCCAGCAGCCATTTTGGCATTCAATAGTAGGGTAAACACAGGTGTTACTAATGATACTAATTAAAGTTCAGTTCTATTCAGGTCAAACAGTCAGGGTCAGAGTGCTGCTATTGTGCATGTTGGCCCACTGGAAAGGCTCTGCTACTCTAAATGGAACGGGAGCTTTATTAGTATCATTGGTAACACCTGTTTGCCCTACTATTTCATGTCATGCCTTGAAAAATGTCTATTGAATGGGCATCTAAGCTAGGCTAGACAAAATTGTATAGCGCCAATTCATAAC